TGACTTTATCAGAGGATGATGGGTGTGCTCTAAGCCCAGACAGGGGGTACACTAGATCCAGTTGATTTGATTCAATTCCCCCGTAGCAATAATAATAGCATTTCTAACGACAGGAGGGGACTATTGTGGACCATTCCATCATAAGAAAGAGAACCAGAACAAAGCACTGCATAAGTGCTTTATCGCTGTTTTTGTCGGCTTTTCCACAAAAGCTGCTCAATTGGAAGTCGTCCAGGACCACACAACGCATTCTTTCATCGCAGCTCTGAGAATATATTGCTTTGGAGGCAGTTCACGTACTATTTGGAGGGACGACGAACCTTGTTGGCGCAAAGAGTGAGCTAGCTTCGTGTTTATAGTGCGATAGCTTCTTCATGACTAGCTCATGGAATTTATTGAAAGCTCACACCTCCTCGTGCCCCACACTTCTGTGGTCTATGGGAGGCTGCAGTCAAGTCGGCAAAGTTTCACATCTACAGAGTCGTCAGTTGTAGCTCTTAATAAATTGAGAATGGTATTTATGACATTCTTAATTCACGTTTGCTCTGTCCATATTCAGAAATGAAAGCATTTCCAAAAAAGTTCAAGCTAAACAAGATTTCCTAAGCTAGATGTTACGAATCTCCTCGAAAGCCGGCTCAGCAGATGCAATCAGATGGAGCAACGCTTTTGGAATAGATGAAGTCGAATATTTTCCCTACTTCAAGAAAGGAGCACATGGCGTTAAGCTTCCAGCATCAAGGTCAGAAGGTTCGCATTGTTGAAGGAGGACTCCATTCCAATATGAAGTATATAAGTGATATAGTAGAATTTCAAGAAGTTTAATTTAGATTTTAGTTTCCAAGAATCTTCTAAAATATTCTCTGCACGGTGAAAGATCAGAGTATCTTTACAGCTTCTTTTGGTTCCCTTTTTTGATTGGAAGTCGAATACTCGTCCGTCAGTTCCAGAGACTAAGTTGGTCATGTGACCCGTGACATAGTTTAAATATCAAAGGGGCTAGCTATATGTTCAACATATATAAATACAATAAAAATATATATTGGTTGCAAAGATATGTATAATAATAACAGCCTTTAATTCAAAAAATGTGTATTATTTATTTCTGTCAAGTTTTATCCTTCCTTCCTAATTTTTCAGTGTTTGAATTTGCATAACTTGGTTAAAATATGACTTGAAAAATGGAAATTGACACTCGAGATGCATAACATATGGCCTTTTACTATCGATCTCTGTGAAGTCATCGCACACAAAAATCACCTTAATCACCTTAATAAAATTAGGTAGATAAAGGGGGGATCGCACAGGCGGCTGAGTCACACCCCAGAGCACAGGAGGCAGAAGTAAGCCAGTCAATTCGATACGAAATCCAGAAAAGCTTAATGGAAGCCCGTCAACGTGCTCAGCTGGGCAGAGCCCGTGTCCTCTCATTCAGTAAAGAAACCTACGGATCAGCAGCAACAGCAAGCAGTACGGGAATCCAGACGGTCGGTGCATCAGAATCTGAAGGCGATTCTGAAGGGTAGAAGACCCTGTAGGCCACCGACATTAGTCCCGCCAAAACCAAATAGAAGGATTGACATGACAGAGACGACATGACTTTAATGGGCGGTCATGGCGCGTCGAAGATTACAGGACAGGTGAGTTTCCGGAAAAGCATCGGACGTTTGCCAACGTGGCATATATTTACTGTGAAAGAATTGCAGATTTGGTCACTAAGTAAGCGCACCAGACACACAAGCGACACACAAATGATGCCATTCGGAGTGTGCAACGCAGCAGGTGATTCCAGCGGAGCTGGGAGCTTAAGTCATCCTTTACCTGGATGACTTCATGGTTCTTGCTCCAAATTTCCAAATGCACTTAAAGAACTTGTTTCGGGTAGCGCAGGTCTGAAATTAGCTGGGTTAAAAATTGGGTTGAAAAAATCAAATTTCTGATTAAGTCCTTGACTTATCTGGGATTTTTAGTCAGAGGTCAAGCGGTAGGCATGAATCCTGGAGTTTCGGCGGTCCAGAGGATACCTTTTCCGCAGTCCATTAAGGATATGTGAACTTTTCTTGGCACAGCGGGACGGTATCGGTAGTTTGTCAACAATTTTTCTACGCTGGAAGCACCTCTTACCGCGTTCTTGGTGGCGTTGAGGTGCGCGGTGCTGTTCTGCGGAAACAAGACAGAGAAGAGCTTCCAATTGCGTATCCGTGCATCACCGATCGCGCGAGTCTTAAATGGCTTTTGAAAATCGCTGCATTTCAGGATGCAAGTCGGTATCGGCAATATAAGTACAAAAAGTCAAACAGCGGTCATGCTTGGATATTTATTGTGGTAGATCATTCCTAGAAATGTACCTTTCTAAAAGCAATGAAAGCTGCATCGGTGTCAAACGTGATTATTTTCCTGTGGAAAGAGGTTTTTTGCCTGAAAAATAGTTGTAACGGCAAGTGCAGCAGCAGCTAAAAATTCTAACAGCAAACATATAAACAGAGTGCGTTAGTGTTTTTTGTTTTGTTTAATATTTTATTAATGGTTGGTCCTAACAGAAAGGGCCCCGGGAATTTAAAGGCGAAATTTACATAATAAAAAAAAATCGGTGATTACTTGAAGTTAAATCGGAGCGTCAAATAACCTCAGGTTTTGTGGTTAAGGTTCAAAGATTTCTACCCGCATTTACTCACCATCAGCACCACAACATTCCTGTTTCGGAGTCAATTTAAGATATTCAGGCAGGCTCCGGTTTTCACTTTCACAAGATTCTCTCGTTTTCGTTTTTGAAAACGAGAATTGGTGCTCCCGTTTTCACTTTCACAAGACTTTTTCGTTTTCAAAAACGGGCAAGTTTTTTTTGTCGAAATGAAAAGTAAATGCCTTTTTCTACATTAAATCGGTTCTTAATTGCAAAAGGAAAAAAATAGTTGACTCCTTGGTCTATTGATGTTCATTTCCCACCATCATAAGATCAATCTAATTCGTATTTACTTTTTAAATAATTATTTTCTGACCCCATCTTTATTTCATACATAAAATATTTGCCGTCGGCAACAACAACTTTCGTTTTGCTAAGGGGCCGATAAATCTATTGCCAAAAGTTATCGTCAATGCTGCCGTACTTGTAGTGGAACAAAACAACCACTTAAAAATTCTTATAAAATGAAAACAAAGCTAAAATATTTGTAAAGAAAAGTTAAATAAGCTTTTATAAATAAATATTATTAATTTCAGTTGTTTGAACAGTGAGAAACGATGAAAAAATGAACCGTTCCGATAACGGAACGATGACAAAAAGTTTGTGAAAACCGGAGCACCTAAAACGAAAACGTATGTTTTCGCCCAAAAACGAAAACGAGAAAAAAAAGTGAAAACCGGAGCCTGCCTGATTACTTTTGGGAAACCGTATATGTAGTCACAAAAATAAGTTGCAATTATATGATTTTAAATTAATTAAAAAATAAAACAGAGCACAAGAAATAGAAACTTGACCACGACCTTCTTTTTCTCTTGTTTGTAGTTTACTCGTACACATAATGGTCTTCATTTTGCTTTCGTGTAGTTTTTTTTATTGCGAGTGTACAGATTATTTTCTTATGATACCCTGAAATTTTTGTAGGCTCCTACAAAATTTTTAAAGTTTAAAATGTTTACCTGTCAAAAGTGATATTTAATATACTATATATTGGTTGGGGGGGACGGTGGCCCAGCAGGTAGAGCGCTGGCCTCCGGTCCGGAAGACCCGGGTTCGAGTCGAGTCCCAGGCTCCCCGAGAAAAAGAAACGGTCTCTTTTTCCAAATCTCCACCACTTCTATGCTCTATCGCTCAATTAACATTAGTAACAAATTTCGGCTCCCCGGACCCGCACACCCTCTCGTCCACGTTACTATGGACCCAACAATAGAACTTTCGTCACTCCTAGATGGCGCCAGGTGGCAACCCCACCGCTAGGATAAGTCGCTACTGGCTTATCACCGGTACGATCGAAAATCAATGATAACGAATCCTCTACAAGAAATTGTAGAGGCTCTAAGCTCCCGGGTGGAGTAAAAGAATGTAAATTTTTTTTTATTGGTTGTCAAAAAGCCTAGATAATTAATGTTATGGCGCGGTACATTTACTTGGTACGACCAGTAAAAATCCCGATTTTGTAGTCTGAGTATTGTGCTTATAGTCGACGATCCCGTTTTACACCACAGTATTTAGACCCATGATTATGAGACGATAAAAATATCAGAATCATTGGTCGTGCTGCCTATTTTCTAAATTAACTCAGGCAAAACTTTGGCAGATCGCCACAATAAAAGTTGAAAATTGTTATATTTCAAAGCAAAACATCAAAAACAAGTGAGAACAGTCGGATGCCTCGACTATCAAATGTATGATGTCAGAATCTTGTACTGTTCCAACATTGACACATGCATAACAGAAAAACTTTGGGCGCCACAGGTCAAGAACTGAATTGAGCCTTGTACGATTAGCAAGCATCTACGTTTTTAATGCCAATATCTTATAGTTTCAGGAACCGGTTACTTTTAACTCAATGCTTGATTTCATATACAAACGTATATATCCTGATTTTACTTTGCCTTTTTCCTATTACAAGAAATTTATTGAAGACTAAAAACAAAATCACTAACACGAAATTAGCGGGAAAAAACTCGAGAGCAAATCTTATCAATTGCACGGAATTCGTGTGCATACACAAACTTTCGCGGAAAAACACAATAGGAAATATCAAAAATATTTTAAAAAAAATAACCGATATTTGATATATCAGGTGAAAAAATATAATGATATAAATATTTATGATAAAAATCGATATATTGATATTTTTATATATTTTCCACAACCCTATCTACGAGTAACGGGTGTAATACAGAAAAAACCCCAACGGTCATGGTTTATGCACTTGGGCGAACTTCGAACGACTTGGAAAAATACTCTTTTCCCACTAGCGAACTTGGTTATCGATTTGACTACTAGACCTGAAATGAGAAATATTCACCGCCGCAATGCCCCAAATATAGCCGTTTCAATTTCAACGGTATTCATTTATAAATAAATTGATGAAAATCAATATTTATTTTTATCTGGACTCTTATGTAAAGTAAATTCAAATGGTTAGGGAAGGTAATTAAGGTTGAAACATTTTTTGGCAGCTTTAAAAAGTACTTAGAACTTTTTAGATTATTGCCTAGGTCTTTCCAAACGACCAAAGACGTCACCACTTGTAATTTGAAAACAAATAAACACCATTCATTTACCAAGTAAATTTTAATTTCATCTTCTCCAGAGCATCATAAGAGGACGGTGGTGCAGACGGGCAATGATAACATCCTCGAGTTTCCGTACATCCGCACAAGGAATACATACACAAAAAAATCGACACAAATGGCTAGTTCGCCAAACAATGTTTTCAAAAAAGTTAAACGGCGAAGAAATAGTGCAACTTCGAGTGACGAAGAAAGATGGCTAAACGCCATAGAAACTGGTAAACTGGAAGATGTTGACGAAGAACTGAAAAAAATTAAAGATCCCAAACTGATGACAGCTCGTCAACGTGCTATGTATGAACGAACACAGGATGCAGATATAAGTGGCTTTGTTGAAGAACTAATTGCCCTCCCAAGTGGTTACAAAGAAAAGGAAAAACCACAAACGGCAGAGGAAATTCAAAAGGCTGCTCTTAAATCACAGAAACGTAAACAACAAGCTGACGAACGGCGTGAAAAAGATAAACAAAAAACCATGGAGCGGTTGTTGAAAAAACAAGAAAGCAACAAGCAACGCTGTGCGATTCGCCATAAACAATCACGAAAGTTATTGTATCCAAAAATTACATACATTAGTGCTATAAAAGGCAACTACATTAGAGTCCCACCAGGTCACGAGTTTCCCCTAAAAGCTCAAATGCCCCGCGCACCACCTTGCCCACAATTTTGCCATGTAAAAGGTTGCGGAAATCGTAAGGCATATACGTGTTCGACCACAAAAGTTCCATTGTGCAGTATTGCATGCTATCGCAAAAATTTTTCACTACATTTAAACCAATAAAATAAGATTCGCTTGGACCAAATATTTTTTATTAGTGATTTTCAAAAAAATTATTTATAATTTCATGTTGCTCACTTTCGATTCGCTGTAAATACTGCAATTCATTTTTTAATCGTTCTAATTCGATCGTGTACTCTGTAATCTCGGTCTGATAAATTTGCAGCTCACTTTGACGGTGATTAGATATGGTTTTAAGCTGATTCTGAGTGCTAATTGCGCGTAATTTTTCTTTATCGACATCTTTTGCGGTCAATACATTTATTTTACAGAAATCATTAACTAATTTCTTAAACACTTTTAAACTTGTGGAGTATTTAAAGCATTCCGTTTTAAACAGATTTTTTTCGCCGACAACGTTTGGGCTTTCAACTCGTAGTCTGTAGATATCATCTATAAAAAGTCCAAATTTTTGAAGTTCCTCCATGCTAATGCAAACAATGAGTGGAGCAATTGTTACGAGAACTGTGTTATGGTTCGGAAAACGTTGCCATTGACAACTTGTACGGGAATTGTATACTATGTTCACAACAGTAATTTGTAGGGGTTTGGTTGGTGTAGATTCATATAAAGTTATGTATGTTTGATTAAACTTAAAGATACTTTCATATGCATATGTACATATACTATTATACGCTATACACCCTCAGACCCCATAAAGTATATGTATGTACATACAGTGGCTCGCAGCTTATTTCTTGATCAGAATCCAAATATGTATGTACGTCTGTCTGTCTGTCCGTTTCTCTTCAAACTAGTCTCTCAGTTTTAAAGCTGTCTTGCTGAAATTTTAGTTGTAGTTATTGCACGCAGTATATAAGACGGATCGGCCGACTATATCGGATAGCTCCCATATAAGAGGTCAAAAAAATAAAGAATAAAAAATTATTACGCCGTTGTTTTTCATCGAATTGACTTGATTTTTGGATTTTGGATTAAATTTTATCAAAATCGCATAACCCTATCATATAGCTGCCATAGGAAAGATCAAAAAATATACAGTCAAGTCCCGATAATTCGAAATGCCAAGGGGATCACTTTTTTTTTACGAATTAGTCGGGAATTCGATTTATCGAGATTTCTATTTAAGGCAGTGTTCTGCTTTACAGACTTCAAAAAATCGATTTTTTTGTTTGTCTTTAATCTATTCCAAAACTATCCAAGAATATGTGCTCAAAATTTTAGAGGCCAATTCGACATATTTTCGAAGCTAGCTCAGTTTTAGTGGCTGAGCGTCGAGCAGGTTCGTATGCTCGGGCAGACTTTACAGCCCGTTTTCTCGGGTTTTTATTTTCACAAGTTTTGGAACACGGTGCCGGCCATAGTAAAAAAAATATATGTCCGATCGAAAAAAACCGAAGTGATCTAGCTTCAGTATCGGAATTTTTTTAGTTCATATAGAAAAGGAACTTATAAAATCGAAAAAAAAATTGGTTCCACTGTTTCATATGCATCGCACGAACTCCATCACCGGCACCGATTTACAGGCGCCCCAAAAATATCGTTACAACTTCCGCTAATTTCAATTATTTGTAATAATAAAAATTGTTTTTTAAAGTTTAAATATAATATTATATCGTCTCAAAATTTCGTTTACCGCAATCATTTCCTTCCCTTTCAAAAAAATTGTTGAAAAAACGCTCTTTTTTCGGCTCCTAAAGCAGACCACTGCCTTAACGGGGCTTAAAAATGAAAAAGTCGAATAAACGGGGTTTTTACATTTCACATCATGTTTACATATGTATTTAACTTTATTCAAATTAAACAAACATAATAAGTATGTACATTCATTTGTACGTTTTTCAAATTAAAGGAAAATTAAGGGGCACAACTAGTGTGACGGCCTAAAAAAATGGTGATTTTTGGGAGTTTTTATAAAAAGAACTACTTGATCAATTCTTTTCAAATTTTTAGAATACATTTATACATGTTTTAAGAATGTATAGTGAAATTTTTAAAGAAAAAAGTTAAATATTTTTTAAGTTATAGTCGATCTCCAACGACGCTAAAAAAAGTGCCTTAACTGCTGCAGTGATTCCGGCCCTCTCCGTGGACGAAATCAAAAAATGAAAAATTCTCGATAAACTAGATAGTATTTTCCATACCATGAACTACAATAAAAAAATATCAAAAAATGACAACATGGCAGCGTTAAAAAAAAGGGATTTTAAACAAAATTTTGGTCGTTTTTGGCCTGCCAAAATTCGATTTTTGATCGGATCAAAAAGTTCATGGTACGTAGAACTATATAAAGAACATTGAAAAAAATTTGGTAGTGATCGGATCACTAGTTTTTGAGTTATCACTGCAGCAAATTTGGAAAATGCTGTTTTGAGAAAAACGCGTTTAAAGATAAAATGATCGTTTGCACTGTTATGAGAGCGGCTGCTCTTTAAATTGTTATAACTCAAAAACTATTTGAGATATCGATTTTAAATTTTATTATGTTATTTTTAAAGGTGTAATCTACCGAAATATGAAAAAAAAAATTTTTTTGATTTTTTTAAAAACTTCACACTAGTTGTGCCCCTTAAACAATAACATAAAATTATAACAGTGAGAGAAACACCAAATTCATAATGCATAGCGACAAAAGGGCGGCATATCTGTCTGCAAAATCTAACGGTGCTTTAACTACAAAAAATTTCGCATCGCACTACGATTTATATGAGGTAACGAAACAAAATTACGATTTAGAAGAAGCTCAATATTCTTTGCGTTGCGCCAAATACTACGAATTAACGAGGGGACCAAAATGTATGAAATTTTTACGAATTAACGAGTTTTTTTCAAGGAACCGAATTTTTTACGAATTATTGCGATTTTCGATTTAGCGGGGTACGAATTATCGGGATTCGACTGTATATAGAAATAATGGCAAAATAATCATAACGTTGTTGTTTTTATTCCACGAGCATGATTTTTACAACATCGACTTTATGAACTACCCTTGAACCGAGAAAAAAATTTCATAAAAATTGGACAACTATATCATATAGCTGCCATATGAACAATAATCGAAAATATGGAAAATTAATAGAAAAGTCGTCATAGCTTCGATGTTGTCAGCCTTTATGTATTTTGTTCGACATCTTTGATGACTGAAAGGGTATATAAGCTTCGGCTTGCCGAAGCTAGCTTGCTTTCTTGTTTAAATATTTAATAAAAAATTTTAAACAAAAATACTGCAGCAGCTTATTTCAACCAGCCAAGAAAATATATTTTTTAACTGACTTAAATGAAAAAACAAGAAAAATTAATACTTGTTTTGGCCACCATTGTTGTCAATGAACTTTTAAGCCGTTTCGACATCGATTCCACTAGCTTTTTTCTCCCCAATAGGACTATTTTTCCTCACTCTGTCACCATAGCGTTTTTTAGAGCAGATTTGTTAGAAAACTGGCTTTTTCTGATATTTTGGTACGGAATTGCCCAGAAATTTTTTATTATGTTTATGTCTGGTGCTTAGGCAGGGGGTTCCATCACATGTAGGCAATTCCAAATCAGCCAATACTGTACAATATCCGATTTGTGGTTTGGATCATTGTCTTGGTAGAATCGAAAATCCTCCCGATTTCCAAGATCTACCGCATTTTGAAAAAAAATGGGCTTTCAAAATTTCAAGATAGTGAACCTTGTTCATCGTAGACTTTATAAAGTGCAGTCTTCCGACACCAGCTGCCGACATAGAGGCCCATACCGTGACACTATCGCAGCCATGCTTAACTGTAGTATTTAGATTCTTCGCCTAAAATTTGCCAACGACCACTTGTGCAAGAATTTAGCTTTTTGGAACACCCTAATTTTGAAGACGAGTCCAAACTTAATATTTCCGGGTCTGGTGGAGCCAGACATGTTTAGCGTAAGTCAAATACAGAGCTCCAAAGCAAGAACATAAAGTCTACTGTTAAGCATGGCGGAGGTAGTGTCATGGTATGGGCCTGTATGTCGGCAGCTGGCGTTGGAAGGCTGCATTTTATTGACTCTACGATGGACAAGATTCAATATCTCGAGATATTGAAAGCCAATTTGCTCCAAAGTTCTGTAGAACTTGGAATTCGGGAGGAATTCCGGTTCTACCAGGACAATGACCCAAAACATAAGTTGGGTATTGTGCAGACTTAGCTAATCTGGAATTGCCCACATGTGATGGCACCCCCCGCCCAGTCACCAGACATAAATGTCATCTAAAATTTATGGGCAATTCTGGACCAAAAAATTAGAAAATGTCAGATTTCTAATAAAGCTGACCTCAAAAACGCTTTGGTGGAAGAGTAGGAAAAAATAGCTCCAGAAATGACCAAAAAGCTGGTGGACTCAATGCCAAAACGGCTCAAAATGGTCATTGACAACAAGGGTGGTCATACCAAATATTAACTTTCTTTGTTTTCCTTTATTTAAGTTGTTAAAAAATATATTCCTCAGCTGGTTGAAATAAGCTGCTGCAGTATTTAAAGCAGTATTTTCGTTTCAAAATAGATATTAAATATTTAAGAAATGTTAAAAAATAAATGGAAATACAAATTTTATGTTAAAGGCTCACACTACAAACCCTCATTTAAATTTTTATATTAGCTCTCATAGTTTGCTAGATATATGGCTTTAAAGTTTTTTTGAGGTGCTGGTTGAAATAAGCTGCGTGCCACTGTAAGTACGCGGGAATGCGCAATGATCAATGAAAGATCATTAATGAACAAGGTAAAAAGTAATGGTTCCAGATGGCTTCCTTGTGGTACACCAGAGGTAACTCTGAGGAGACTACTTAAGGAATTTTTGAAAATCACTCTTTGTGGTCGGCCACTAAGATAACTAGAGATCCAACTTAATAGATCTGGTGGAAACCCTATCATGTCATGTTTGCGAATAAAAAGGAAGTGATTTACAGAGTCAGACCCCATAAAGTATATATATTCTTGATCAGCATCACGAGCATAATCCAAATACGTCTGTACGTCTGTCCGTTTCTCTTCAAACTAGTCTCTCAGTTTTAAAGCTATTTTGCTGATGCGCTGATAATTGTGGGGAGGGCGTGGGTACGATGGCGCTCAATCCAAGTGGAAAAGTGTCGGAAGGTACTGCTTTCGTTATTAGTGACCCTTATGAGTGAAACTGAAAACATAAAGCTAAAAAGATACAAGCATTGCCGGCGAGCCGACTGCGCACCCACGGAACTAACCGTGCAAAGTGAATGAATCGTGCCACCGCTGGTGCCCTATAATTTAGGGCGCAAGCCACCTTAGCGACAAGTGCTGCGTCAGCAATCTAACTAAATATCAATCTTTTGCAAAGGTAAAAGTTGTGTTGCCCCCTTATGAATTTTTTTTTTTTAAAGATTAATTAATATTTAGTAAGTAACTGCGAAGCAAGAGTCTCGGTAGAGTTTCATTAGTTTTTGATTTGCTAGAGTAACCATTTCTAATTTTTATCCCCTTGCAGAGCAAAGGGTGTTATAATTTCAGTCAGCATCACGATCAGAATCGAAATACGTCTGTACGTCTGTCCGTCTGTCTGTTTCTCTTTAAACTAGTCTCTCAGATCTGAAGCTATTTTGCTGAAACTTTACCAAAAGCTGTGTAGTTATTGCACGCAGTATATACGTCGGAACGGTCCGGATAGGTCCGAATTTTCACGCCGTTGTTTTTGATCAGATCGACTTGACTTCTTTCAGATGGCGTTTTCTAACTACAATTGAATTTCGGT